GGCTGGTGGTGTGACAGCAGCATCACAGCAAACAGTCTCTGCTGTGACACCGCAGCAGTTTCCAGAACACCCCAAAACCAACAGCACCTTCACAGACATACATACATACATACATACATACATATATATATATATAAATAACCACAAAAAAAGACAAGCAAGTGAAAGGGTCAGGCCCAGCTCAGCCCACGGGCAGGAGGAGCTCACAGAAGGCGCTGCCGGCCGGGGAGGGCCCCACTCGCCTCCCACGCTGCTGCTCCCTCCCAGCAGTTGCGCTTTTGCTTTGCACATCGAGGGGTGGGACCCGCTGCCAGCACACACAGACCGGGGCCGCGGGGTCACACCGGAGCAGCCCAGCGAGACAGCAAAGGTAGGTCTGATACCCCTTTATCCCCAGTTATCTCTGGTTCAGGCTAACAGGTTTATACTGTATTTTATTTATTATTGCAACATGGACTGGGTGCATCTTACGGTGGCAGTGCTGAGGGGATGGGGACGCTGTGCCGAGAGGCAGGACGATGCTGCGTTAACCCTCCTGCCCTTGAATCTCCAAAAATAAATGAGTAGAAGCAAGACTGTGCAAGCTTAGCCTAGGTACAGGTGGGTGAGGAGCCAATATCTCCATTTATCAGAAGAATGAGCTCCTGTAAGTGCTCACTAGTGCTCTGTGTATATGACAGAGAGGAGGGTACACCTTAAGCCAAAATAGCCAGCCATGACGTTTCAAACCATATTTTCTATTACTGTTTCATGGGTTTCAAGAAGCTGCATTTAAGAATAACACCAACTGCAGTGATTCTGAACCTTTGCAAAGCTCACAGCTGGTGTGAAGGGACTTCACATAAGTGGACTTTCTGAGGCCATACAGCCCCATCTCCACAAGCACAGGGATAGTTAGTCCCATTTACTCATTGCTCCAGGTTTCACTTGCATTTGTCTCACTGTATTTGTCCAGTGGGTTTTCTTAAGCGGTCTGCTCCTCACAAGAGGCAGCACGCTGACTTTCCACTGAATTTTCCTCTTAACTGCAAGAACCATGGAGGGAGGCAGCAGGGCTGCCTGTGCCCGGTGGGCACATGGCCATACATCCCTGGGGGGGCACACGCTGGTGGTTTGGGTGGAAAACCCACAGCTTTGGTGCTCATTACCACACACGTCCACCAGGGACGTCAGGGTGAGCCAGTAAGGGAGTAGAGGGGTGAGGGATTAGGCTAATAGACAACATTACTGCTGTGGGTTTACTTTCCATTTTTAACCAGGATAAATATTAACAAGAGGACAACAGCTTTTGCAAGGGATTAAAGGCCAAAAGCATAATATTTCACATGGCATTAAACCAGAGTTTGTTTGGTTTTTTTTGCAACTAAGTCAAAGTGAAAAAGCTTCACTCATCCATAGCGCTTTGCAAACACAGCATTAGCAAACATATTCTGACAACTCAGAGCGTGTCTGGTGTATGATGCAGAGCAGACACTGTGGTACGGGAGGGATGCTCTGGAAGTTGGTGGTAGCTGGGCAGGGAGGTGCTAATGATGGGATGTCAAGATGCCCAGGCTGGGGTAAGGCAGGCAGAGAATGTCAGGGCTCCTGCTGTGTTATAAGCACAGCAAAACACAGAAGGCTCCGAGGATGTCTAACAAAAGTACCATGGCCTCTGTGGACAGATTCTACCAAAAAGGAAATAAAAGAGATATCTCCACAGTTAGCACAGGAAGAAGCAATATTGCTTTTATGGAAGAAGATACAAAAATTGGACATCTATCAGAAAACTGCTTCAAGGAAGAAAAACCTTTATCCTCCTTTGACATTTTTAAAGAGGGCTAAAGAACAATCCTGCGCAATGGTCAGTTTATATTTCTATTATTTCTATTTTTAGCTATTACCTTATTAATTCTTACTACTAGGAGTTCTCTCTGCCAAAATAGGACAGCAGCACTTCAGGTGACCTAGAAAATACACAGTTACAGGAGAAGCCTGGCACAGGACACTGCTGCCCTGCTCTGGTTGCTGGCAACTTCCCACGTCCCCACATCCCCAGGTGACAGCACAGGGAGGAACAGAGCCACCACTACACTGCCTCTGCCTGTGTAGCTTCAGCAGGGAACTAAATTTCTATTTGAAGTTACCCCTGTGCACATTCTGCTTTTATATTAGGCTGTGGAGGAGACAGAGGAAACAAGAGAAGCCCCAGCTGGCAGCACACCCAAGGCATCCCCCAAAGGATAAGTTAGCAGATAACACCAAACAGGGCATCAGGTGCAGCACCAGCCTGTGTCACCTCTACCACAGGCTCAATATGCTTTTACAGCACAAATACCAGCCCCACACCAAACACGGGGAGCCTGAACACCCACTGCTCACCTGCAGCGGTCCTTGCAAGAATGGTGCTTGGTGTCAGGATGTCTCCAGGCTGCTCTTTTACCCTGGTCCTGGGAGGGAGCAGGAGGTATTAGGAAGCATCCTGGACTCTCTAAGGACCTGAACTCCAAGGGCTAACCAGGCACAATGCTACAGCAGGGGCAGCACCTACAAACAGTACACTTCCATGGGCTGCTTTCCCTTAAGCTGGTTAAGAGCCTCTTTCCCCCACTAAGCTGGCTTTTAAGAGCTGCTGTGGCTTTTTTTCCTGGGGTAAAACTCAGTAGATTTGTTAATGAGGGTCCTGAGTTGACCTGAGGCAGCTATAACCAGCCTCAGGTGAGGAGCCTGATTACTTGTGGAGAGGGTCTGACAGGCTCTGATGTGGGCAGAGTCCCAGTGCACTTCAGGCCCCCAGGTGCTGCATTTGTTTGTATGGAGAACATGGATAGATGGCTGTCCTTCAGCATGGAGAAAATACTTTACACCACATGTGCCCAGCTTTAACATATGTTAACAGCCAGCCTCTATGCTGGCTACAAATCTTACTTGGTGTTTCTGACTTGTTAAGTGCAAATGAGGATTCTTAATCCAGTGGCCCGATGTAGCTGGCTGTGGGGTCTCCTTAGCAAAATAGGGGAGAGAGAACCATTCAGCGGAAGAAGGAAGCCATGCCTGGGCAGAGTCTTGCACCTAATGCTGCAGCCAGCATTCTGTGCCAAGGGGAAGTGAGTGCAGAGCATATGAAACAAGATTTCCTCTTTCTGGAGCTTTTTTTAGCATTCTGCTGGTTTTTAAGTAGCGCATTCAGCTGAACTTTGCAACACTGCTGCTTGGGATTTCCAAAGTGCAGTTTCTCACACTGCCACATTTTTACCCCCATTCCGAGAGCGGTTGCTCTCACAGGGACATTTCTGGGTGCCCCGGGTGAGCACCCTTGCTGCTCCCCGGCTTTAGCTGGCCTTTTTAGGACCCCTCATGATGTGGGTTTGCAGCCCCAGGGAGAGGCAGAAGGTGCTGCAAGCACATCCCTGCCCTGGGGCTGGGCTGGAGGGAGCAGGAGATGGGGAGAGGGAAATGCAGCGCTGGTGGGGGGCAGCAGGAGAATTGTTACTGTGCACGTGTGTGCAATGGGCTGTGAACAGAGAGATGGGCTGGGACTGCACCTTGTCCTTCCCCTTACATGTCTCACGGCCCAGCGATGGAGGTAGGGTGGATTTACCCCCCAGGAGAAGACGTGTGATTCAGCCATCCTGACTGGGAGCCCCTGGGCAAGAAATGAGAAGAAAGACAAGCTTGTTTAAAGAAAAAAAAATAATTTAAATATCACTGGAAGGAAGATATGGGTGATGCAGGCTTGGGGCTTAATCTTGTGAGCACCCCTGCAGATGCTCCCAGGCAGGTGCAGTCTTGCCCAAGCAGTGTTCACAGGAGCAGTGCCAGCATCTGCAGGCATGGGATACCTCTATGGACAGTGACTGATGGCACTGCAAAGTCACCAAAGCTCCTTGCTGCTGGCGCTTCAGAGCAAACGTCAGGCAAGAAGCTGAGACATTCTGGATGAAAATCAGCCTAAGGTAAAGCTTTGCAGCTCCTTGTAAGCCACCTGCACTCTGCTGAGCAGCTGCCCACATCTTAGGGGATAGTACTGGTACCTGGGAAGCCAAGACGAAAAGTGGATGAGTGAGAGGATGCACCAGGTCAGTCATTGCTGCCCTGGTCCCACAGCCCAGGGACCTACTGAAGGCAAAGGGGGATTTGGATGGAAAACTGGAGCTGGGAAAGACACAGCTGCAGAAAGCTGGTAGCAAGTGAAATACGCCCTCCGATCTCTGCTTGGTGGTACAGCACAGGAGGCTGGTTTGTAGCAGCAATTAAACACATTTCCTATTTATCACTCAGTGGTTTTGACCTACCTTCACTGGGCAAGGCGTGGTGCTTGTTAGGTGGGAGAAGAGCCAACCACCACAGATACCACTAGCAATAGGTTTCTGTTAGAGAGATGCTCCTACTGCTCTTGCAAGCTTTCCCATACCTCTTGCTTTGTAAGACCCATGTCTCCTCGCAGTGTTATAAATGCACCTTTCTGTCTTTCATCTGCAGGGCTGCACTGGTTGTCAAACTCCTGTGTTGACAGAAGTGGCTGAAATGCTACCTAAAAGGTGACAGAGGTGCAGCCCCAGTGATGAACTGTCAATTGCTTCAGCACATGATGCATTTCCTGGTGCGGATCTTCTCCCTGTCAATCCTGCAAGCAACTAGAGTAAGGTCTGGTCATTTCTGACAAAGAGCACAAGCAAAGCACACGAGCAGGACTTTAACACCCTATAACAAAGCTCCTCCTCAGAGCGGACATGATGATCTAGTAACCAAAGCCTCCCATACGGATGCCAGGGCCGAATCTCCTTATTTAAGCACAAGCCAAGCACAACCTGGCTGCAGGACAAGCGTGAGGAACATGTTACCATGCTGGGGCTGAGCAGGGATCTGGATCACAACCATGACAAACAGTTCCACCTGCACTGAAACAGACCTCAAGCCCTACTATGCAATTACATACACTTTCATCCTAATCCCTGGACTAATAGGAAACACATTAGCTTTGTGGGTCTTTTATGGGTACATGAAAGAGACTAAAAGGGCTGTAATATTTATGATCAATTTAGCCATTGCTGACTTATCACAGGTTTTGTCCTTGCCCCTGAGGATTTTCTACTACTTGACAGGGACGTGGGAATTTGGAGGAGGTCTCTGCATGTTTTGCTTCTACCTGAAGTATGTCAATATGTACGCGAGCATCTACTTCTTGGTTTGCATCAGTGTAAGACGGTATTTGTTTCTTATGCACCCATTCAAATTCAGTGACTGCAAACGCATCTGTGATGTGTACATCAGCATCATTGGGTGGGTTGTGGTCTGCATTGGCTGTTTGCCTTTCCCGCTTCTCAGACTCCACCAGGATGCTAAAAACACATGTTTTGTGGATCTGCCTGTAAAGGAAGTTGACCTTCCCATCTCCATTGCAATGATGACAATAGGTGAATTGGTGGGGTTTGTAACACCCCTACTCATCATCCTATATTGCTCATGGAAGACTATCTTATCACTAAAAGAAAAAAATTCTGCTTCACATGACCTTGGAGAGAAAAAAAAGGCTTTAAAGATGATTCTTACCTGTGCTCTGGTATTTCTGATTTGCTTTGCACCTTACCATATCAGCTTTCCATTAGATTTCTTTGTCAAAACCAAAAAGATTAAAAATGGATGTGTCCAGAAGGTGATCTCAGTGTTTCACGTTGTAGCTTTGTGCCTTGCCAGCTTGAACTCCTGTGTGGACCCAGTCATCTACTACTTTACTACAGATGAGTTCAGGAGACGCCTTTCCAGGCAGGATTTGCAAGACAGCATTCAACTCCACAACCTCAGTTACGTGAGGAAGCACTCCAGAGATGTACTCAGGAAGGACACCGTGGACTACTAGTGCTTGACTTCCCCAGACAGTTGCCAAGACTTCAAATGTTCACTATATTTTGGGGTTTGCCCCAATTTTTTTCCCCCACCAATTCCATTTCTGGCTTGAAAGCCATATGGTTTGAAGCCATATTGCTGCCTTGGATAAGCTTTAACCACAGGGCTCTGCCTCAAGGGTAGATGTCCATCAGGCCTTTCATGTCTGCTTTTCACCAAAGAGAGAGCGAATTATTTCTCTTTCACTGATAACTGACCCTGCACCATCACACCTACTCTTCATTGAAGGCAGCATCATTAAGGCACAGTCAGAGAAAGCAAACCTCTAAGTTTACTGTAAGGGAAACTCATTATAAGCAGAGTCAAAGGTGCCACACAACAGGCTATGAGAGATTTTTATGAAAGGCTCAAAAGTGGATGTATTTTTAATAGCAATCTCTTTAAAATCAAATAACAGAAGGTTTGGGCTTGACTGATATTTCATTTGCACCTTCCTGTAAGATTTATTTTTCTGTGAACATCTGAACTGCTACATTTTGAAATGCAACAATACTGTGATGGTATTAGGGTTTATTTAATTCAAATGTTGTTTTATAATTTATGAAAAGAATATATATTTTGTAGAAAAAAATGTGAATCCCAGAGAGTGTTGGAACACAGAAGGACTTTTTTTCTTAAAAAAAATAAATCCCTTTTATATAATAAAACCAAACTCCACCACCTCATCCCTACAGGAGTCTGAGACAGTGTGTCTGTACCTGAGTGTGTTGCTGGGTAAGGACTGATGTTCATGGAAACCATGAAGCACATTGTAATTCATTCACAGCAATGAAAAAGTATTTATTTTTTTATTTCCTTTTGTATATTAAAAAAATCCTTTAAAAAAATAATTAAATGTAATTCTTGGCCAACTCTCCTGTCTGTAACTGCCTGAATCCCCAATATACCCTTACACAGACCAACACGTGGCAGCACTTGGATGCTGACTCCTCTAAAGCACCTGTAGAACATTTTAGATGCCTTTTCAGAATTATTTTAACCTTCTTCTTGCACTGGGGACAAAAGCAAAACACTGGCTCACAAAGGGACAAAACACACTGCTGAACACTGCAGCAGCTCATCTATCCCCCACAAGAGGTTTACCAAGACATGGTGAATTCCTATCACTGAAGGCCAGCACCAATACAAGCCCATCACCGCCCTTTCAGGCCTCTATCCCCATGGGAGGGAAGCAGTATGGCCCTGTACAGCCCCACAGAGCTACTTTTAGCTTCTGAGGGGTAAAGATGTTACACAAAGTGGTATCAGAAGTTCAGAAACTGTTAAATAAGAAAAACCTCAATAAGCTTCAGTTTTCCTACCTAGAAAATGCTGTGGGTGCACACGAGCTGTTCGTCTGCTGCCATAGCAATGTGGTTTTCGTATTAGTATTAACCGTCTCTTTCTACAGGAAGTTTGGTGTAATAGAGTTGCTCACATGAGCTACATTCAGGAGGGACTTGCCTGCCCCCTCCCGCAACAGCACCTCTGCCCCAGGTAGGGTTAGCTTGGTCTCACAAGCCCTTGGCTGATGATGCCACAGATATCTGGAGAATCAAGACATCTCTTAGATTAATGGCAGGTGCATTTTCATGCCCTGTCGATGGCTCAGGATGCATGATACCAGCCCATGCTTGCGTCCTGAAGCAATCACACACCAGCAGAGAGATGTTCTGCTGCATTTCTGCCACCCAAGAAAGCCTCAAGTGGGGATAGCACATGGCACATGGGGTTTGGAGAAGACAAGTGATGTCCAGCCACTGCAGCACCAAGGAGCACTTACTGTTTGATCACTTTTCTGCCCTGCTTTGAGCTCTGTGCTAGGCAAGATCTGATTCTTCACCTGAACTTTGCTCAACTCTGACTGCAGGTCTCCCTTAGCCTGTTCAAAGCTAAAAGAAGCTGATACTCGCATGGAAAATTTTTCTCAGGAAAGCTTGTGAGTAATAAACGTGGTGTGCAGCACTGGACTGGGAATTTGAATAAGAACACAACTGAAAGCAAAAAACAACCCCAAAACATCCCCTTATTCTGCATGAAGTATTTCCTCTGGTTGTTCAAGAAGCACCTCTTCCCCAAGAGGGTTATCATCACTGAGAAGCAAAGCACTGAGGTCTCTGCCAACAACCTCACCAAGCTGATTTTGTGCTGAAGCAACAACTGACTTTTTGACACAGTTAGGTTTCATTTAATGCTAAGAAAAGGTACTGTGGCAAGAGCGCAGGCCCAGGGAATGTCTCAGAAGCTGTTCAGAAGCACCACCAGGTTTTTTAGGGAAGTCTTATTTACACATGAAACAAGGTGATGAGGATGACACAGCACTGAGTGGAAGCAGAGCTCTCTGTGGGTTTCTGAATGCAGCACAGTGTAGCCCCCCATTTCCACTGACTCCCACATGGCCCCGCGCCTCTGAACCCACGCACTGCGGAAAGAGCAGCACTGCCTGCAGCGGTTTCATCACACCTCTCTCAGCTTCCTTTGCGTTGCTGTCATCATGACAAGAGATGATGGGTCTTTGTTCTTTTTTTCTTCCTGTTAAGACTTATAACTGCACTGCAAATGAAGGCTGCTATGAAAGTGGGGGAGTGAGCGTCTGCCCCTCTTCCTGCTCTCCTCTTTGTGCCTTTGAGCCAGATCACAGAGCACCGAGGCGGCTCACTTGCTGCTGATAGTGGGCTTGGGGAGAGTGTTGAAACACCAGGCTGTGGGTGACAGTCCTGCCCAGGCACAGCAATCCTCCACCACTGGTTGTGAGGCTTCCTGCAGCTGCACTGAAAGCATCATTTCCAGAGCCAGAAAAGCTCTTACCTCATGCGTTTGACCAACATACACCTGAACCCACTGTGAACCCACTGATCCCTTAAGTCTGTTGACAGTGAATTCCCTATTTTATCTATATGCAGATTGCTTGGAAAGATATGGCTGTTGCTCTGAGCCAGCCACCTGATAACATCTTAAGTTGCCCCTTCCTCTTGCACCACAAGCAACCAGTTCTCTTTTCACCTCCTCTGCCTGACTCATGCCTCAGCAGAGGCGAGCTCTTGCCTGTGCTCAGGACACCCAGCCACCTCCTGCCCAATGGCTGCCACCTTGGGGTCGAGCAGGGGAGCTGATGGCACAGGTCCTCTAACATTTCCAATATCCTCTTCATCTCCTCTGCCATCACCAGCCATTGCCTGTGAGCTATCCATGTAATCCAAAAGATCTGAGGCACTCAACATAAGAACATGGAGTAAATCCAGAGGAGGCCACAAAGATGCTCAGAGGGCTGGAACACCTCTTCTATGGACACAGGCTGAGAGAGCTGGGCTTGTTCAGCCTGGAGAAGAGAAGGCTCCAGCGAGACCTTAGAGCAGCTCCCAGTGCCTTAAGGGGAGATTTATATTAGATATTCGGAAGAAGTTCTTCACTGTGAGGCCAGGTTGGACAGGGGTTGGAGCAACCTGGTCTAGTGGAAGGTGTGTCTCTACCTGTAGGAAGGGGGTTAGAACAAAATGAGCTTTAAGCTCCCTTTCAGCCCAAACCCTTCTGTGATTCTATGATTCTACAATCTCCTTTCTTGTGTGAAAAGGCTTGATTTACAGGTCCTCTTACCCAAGCAGAATTTTGCTTCCTCTTTACATGTCTTTTCTCTTAGCAGCTCTAGCTTTTATTTGCTATTGTCATCCGGTTGCCCAATGTCCTCCAAAGACTCCCCATTTCTCGGTAACTGGTGTATTTTCCTGCTCCATTTAAGGCTGCACTGGGAGCAAACTTAGACACTTTGTACTTTACTGTTCACCTTCTTTTTCACTGCTGTTAGATGCTAAAAAGTAGTATAATCCCCAGCATCATAAAAACAGCTCATTGGCCATAAAGACGCACAGAGCATCAAACACAGCACTGCTGGACACTGCTTCTCAGACCACAATAACTAAAAAACCACAGTGAATGACCCAGATACAAGTCAACCCCATCCAGTACAAAAACAAAAGAAAGAAGTTAAAATCTTGTCAGGGATAGTTTGATAAATACCCTGACGAAAAGAAAGCAGATAAGCTGGACCTGTATGGGCAGTGCCTGGTTCTCACTGCCAGTTAAGTCAGGACAGAGGGGCTCCAGCATTTAGGCTGATAAACTGAGCTCTGTGTAAGAGTGACCTATATGATATACATCAGTGGCCAAAAGATCTGATGTTGAAAAAAGATCAGGTTACTTAAAACCATCAAGAATAAAATAGCAGCAATAAAACCTCAGAACATCTGCAACAGCTATTTTGGTACTACCACTCGCCACTGCAATGTGTTTGTTGAGACCAGCAACTACTATCAGATTAACCTGTTTCTCTCACCCTTTCCTCAAATGCAGTGATTTGCTCTACAGAATTTAACAGCAGGGATTACACTGCTGAAATAGATTCATGAATGAATTTCTCAAAATTCAAAGAGAAATATGTCACAAAGTAGAGTATTTGGGAAACTTAGTGTGAAAACACGACATTCCAGTTGAAATGAGCAGTCAGGGGTGCAGGGATCTTCTTATCATCATCCACCAAAGGAAAAAAAAAAAAGATCACAGCCGAGACCTGGGCAGAGGGGACAGACACAAACATGACTGTTGGTGGTTAGTGCCATCTCCTCAAAGGGGAAGACCTGGCTGCTTGTTCCCACTTCCAGCTCTATTTCTGTACCTTACGTCAAAACAATACGGGATATACTCTGTAAACATCACGAACTGCTGGTCGGGCTTGGATGGGGGTTTTTGGTGGCAGTTAGCACTTCATTTTAAGGGATCCTGTCCATGTGTGGGTGATGACTGAGCAGCAGCTACCTCTAAGAAAGCGGGTCCGGCAACATGTCCACTTGTCCCGAGAGCCCGTTTCAGCATGAGTTAGACCTCAAAAAATAATTCTCATCCCAGTCAGACCCAGTGCTCTGTCTGGACACACACCGAGGTACCCACATATAGTTAAAGGGCAGGGAAAAGTGAATCTTCTTGGAGGTTGAATACCACCATAGTCAGCAAATGGTTGACCTACAATCATCAAGATCATAATTTTTGATGCCAGTCTGCTCAAGTTCCCTTCAGCCCCTGCCATTTTCCCCTAAACATAAACTTTATAAAAGAAAAGCCAAGAACACCCAACAGGGGTAGGATGAACACGAATGACATAACCAATTGTCATAACTGCTGTTAGAATTAACAAATCACTCACCTGCCTACCCATTTTCCCCAGTGGGCTCACCAGTGATGCAAGAAGGGAATATTGATGTGGCTCCAGCTTAGTGAAGGGCACAGCTTTTGCAACCACAATGTGCAGCCACCAGTGCTGGGCTCCAAGCACCCCTCGGCCAGCTTTGCTTCTCTGCCTGCCCTCCCAGGGGTCCCAAGGGAAAAACTCCATTTTAAAGCTTTTAATTCACCTAAACTCTTGTCTAGGCTGACTGGTTTCTCTAATCTGCCATCAGCCTGTTTATAAGGCCTGGGATTCAGTGTCATCATCTCACGCAAACTCCACTATTACATGACATATTTGATATTTAAGAAATGGTAACTCCTTGTGGTCAGACTGAAGTCTGCCCAGCCAGCGTGGAAGTTCCCAGGAGATCTACATAAAACAGAAGCTAAAACTCATACAGCTGTGAGTTACTAGTTTAATGAGAGCTTTCTTATGTAAGTGAATTAACTCTAACCATGCAGGTTCTCCACAGCTCAGTGTGAGCCCTCAGGAGCTGGAGGTCAGCATTTGCAAGGGCCTCATAAGGGTGAGTTTGCCTCAATTTGCATCAAAGTAAGTAGCCCTTGGGAGAAATACCAAATGGGGGACCACAACACTGTCTGCTCAGAGGCAAAAGGATGAATGCAACAGCAATGCTGCAACACTGAGATTTTATGGCTTTGAAGAACATGTCTATGCTTCTCAGTGTGATGGCCACAACCTCTTCTACATGGAACAATGTACAAGAGCAGTGGAGCAAACCAGGCCTCCTCTGACCATCTCCCTGTGAAGTGATGATACTTTCCTACAAGATATCAGGGCTCAGCCCCAGAGCACCAACTCAGCAGGACATCAGTGTTCTGTTGTAGATCCCAGCTCTGCAGCAAGGGCCCATCTTCCCTTTGCAGCATTAGTCTTTTGGTAAGTAGGCTTTGGTTGGTTAATGAAAAGACAGAAAGGAAGAAAATCAAGCGATGCTGATAAAGCAAAAAGTTTTGTAGCAGGAAACCACCAGCTCCATTAAGAAACAACAAATAGAGTGAGTCTGCAAAGAAATAAACACACATACCCAGTATATCTGCAAACAGGATATTTATAGAAGAAATACACAAGTTGAGATCTGGAGCTCACTTTTTTTCTCCTAGACTCAAGGCACTCAGCCAGAAACTTTTGTTGTCCTTCCAGTTAGTGTGAGTCATTTCCTATTGAAAAATCAAAGGTCTTGATCTACAGTGAAAATAGGGC